CTCAGTGCTTTAACAGGCTCCCTAGATTTCCTGATCTGGACGTAATCAGGATCAATATCTGTGCAGCTGGGAGGAAACAAATCATTGCTGTCTAGAAAGTGCCTGGGATTTTGCCACTCTACTTTGCATACGCTTTGAATAAGAACTATGAAGAAAGAGCATTCAACTGTAATCTCAGTCTGATCAGCATTTTTTAAGATCAGACCTTCCAATTGATATAAAAAATAGTTACAATAAATACTTGCATTGCCATGTCACTCTCTTGTGACAAGTCTGTACTGATCCGAGATGGTTGTGCAGTACATGTACCTTCTTCGAGCTCATTTCCTCCTGCTGTTATCTCCAGTGGCATCACAACATTTGACATTGGCACTGTTTGTGGTACAGCAATAAATACACACTCCTCTGGGAGAACGCAGGCATTTTTAGCCAGGGTGTTTATATCGTTCCCAGTACATGTTGCAGTTTACAGGATTTCCTTGTGTTCCAACACTTTTAAAAGGGCTGCGAGTGATAGAAAATACTTCTGAAGGTGAGATGAGTTGGCTCGCAATTTTGAAAGGACAGACGTGTCACCCTCTGCTCACTCTGCGCACCCTTCCTCCCTGCCACCCCCTTTCATTTTTCCACAAAGAACTCGGCACCTCAGTTTGCTTCAAGGGCCTTTGTGATTCCTGGGATCTTCGTATGCGCTGTGTTATGGGGGCAGGATGCTTTGCTTTGGTTTCAGAACTTTTCTTTTTTTTTTCTTTTTTTTTTTTTTTTAATGTTAATGTCATACTATGAAATGCTTAAAGGAACCAAAAAAACAGTATGATTTTAATTCTTGTCAGTTTTGTTCACATTTTATAACAAACGTCCTGAATGCCCGTAAGATCAGTACATGGATTAAACACAGCCAAGTATATTTGGATAAAAAAATACTCTAGTACTGGGATCCGGTCTGGAATCTCAGAGTAGTGCAACTAGTAGAAAAAAAGTCTTGCTTTCTTCCTTGCTCACTGCACACGGAATGGTCAGGCATAAACATCAACTCTTGTGTCTTAGCTTCGCTTTAACATGCAGTATTAATCCAAGCAGTCGTGTGCCATGTTTCATATAATGATCCATACTTTCACACCACACATATACAGCCAGAAAAGGAAACACATTGATTTAGCACTCAATAATCCTTGTTTAATCCCCAGTCCTTTGGTTTACATCACTAACATGGTTGCTGCAGTAGTCAGAGTTTTAACAACTTCTTGGCAGATTGAATTAAGGAAAAGATTTATTAATTTGTTGGCTTTGTAGATACATTTTAAATGTGCTAAGAAACAAACCATTCCGGAAGCTAGTATTGACTGAACTATAAAACTCCACCCTATAAGAGAAGGGAACACTTTGCAGCAATCCAGCTTGAGCTACAGCTCCAATAATTTATTGGCTGATTAATGCAAGTTCATTGTATAGAGCTGCATTTAACAACTTTTTCATTGCAAGTCCTCTTTTTCACTCATTACTGCAAATACAGTTCATCTCCTCTTTCCTTGCTCAGCTATACCTAGGCCTGCAATGGCCTATGTACAGATAAGAGAAAGGGCTTGGAACTAATGGATTCATTTGCAGAAAATGTTTGAGGGTCAGAGAGCACCCTTTATTCCAGTGGCACTAAATATTCCATGAAATTGCTGCACAAATGCTAATGTTTGGGATTTATTTCTATTACTTTATGAATGCTGGCTGCTTTCTTCCCTCTCACAGTGTCAAAGACGACGATCCTTGGGAGGAAGCCTTTTGTAATAATTTAGCTGTCATCACCTTCACTCCCGAATCCTTTAGGCCAGGTACAGGCTAGTCCTGTTCCTTTTTGGCATGTGAGATTCCAGAGCTGACTCCCGCAACTTAAGGTGGCTCTTCACTCATAACCTTCTTGTTAGCAAGTAAACATCAGCTGTAGTTGAGAGTGATAAACATGCTAATTTTACTATTTTAAAGACCCTTTTTTTTTCCTGAAAATATTTTCATTTCCTAGATGCACTTACTTAAATAACTCTATTTTTATAAGCTCTATAGATTGTCCCTCGTGGTAAAAACATTCTTGTTTCCTAAAGTCCAGGTCTGCTCCTTAAGCAAATATACTTTTAGAAGACTGCAATTCACATTCGAACAATGACATTTAGGCTCCACTCTAAATCAAGTTAACATAGTCTGTTTGCTCAGTGGAACAAAACTAACGTGAAAAACATTAAAATTCCTCTTACTGAGTGAGGTTTTTGTTTTTTCTCTTGTTTTTAACCAATAATCACGTAAAGTATTAAAGAATTCATTGCTGTAACATACAAAAGTATCACAGGGATAGTTTTTTTGGTAATGAGACCTAAATAAATATAGGTTAGATCTATTCCTGCAAGCAGATCTGCACACACGCACCCTTCCTCTTGAAGCTCATCAGACTTTTCACCTCTGCGCGTGGCTGCTCGCAAGATTACAGATGCAGTTCATGCCCTTATTTTCAATGTGTGCTTGTAAGACTGAGTTTATTTTTAAAACAAAAGTACAGGGCAGTAAATTAGATGTTAAGGCACATAGCTAGTAATCTTTAGCGTATCTGCCAAGAAACTTATTAATAAATCTAGGCCTCTCTTATGAGTCTCTGTAATTACTATAGACATTGACACTGAAAGGCTACTTGGGAGAAAAAATACACTGAGTGTCTAACTCTCAGGCTGTCATCTGAAAGCACAGTTATTAAGAAAATAGGTATTAATCTACTCTTCTTAGAGGGGCTGCCACCATCAGGGTGTTTGCATCAAAAGTTATTTCCTACTGTGGATGTAGGGTGCAGAGTCTTTCCTTAAAGACACACTTTGCACGTTGCCTTGGGACTGAAAGGCTTGCAGTCAGCTTCTTAATTCAATATATAACTATTTAGAATCTAAGTGCAGAGGAGCCTAAAACCCAAGTGCTTATGCTCTGGGTTATGTTGTTCTAAAAATGAAGGGTCACCGGGTGATCCTGCACGTGAATTTTGCTAAAGCAGATTTTCCGTAAGTTATTTTTTACAGAGCCCCACTCAAATGGAAGGGACACAAGGCTCACGGCTGCCTGACAGGCCTCATCCGTGCTAGACTGCAAGGCAGGTCAGGCAAAATGAGATCTCTTTGCAAGCTGCCTGATGAAAAGCATCTTGACCAGACAATGTTTTCTGTAATGATACACTATAAATCTACACTTCAATTAGATCCACTTAAAGAGTGCTGAAAAAAATATCTCTTCCAGGAGTAGTCTTGTTGAGAAGGTCTCTGTCTCATTCCGTAAGGCTGCTGGCCTGGAGAATCTTGTCCTGTATGGATAGCTCCTCCTTCATGTGGGAGGCAGATGACATGTGGAGATGGAGAGATTATCATCTATACAACTGTATCTGGTAGACGTAATGAACACCAGCACCTCCCCTTCACTCAGGATCACTCAAAACTGGGCCTTAAATTTCAACTGCAGTGTGGTCCTCCATGCAGCTACCTAACAGGAAAGAAATAATCAAAGAAACAAACTACTTAAAGTGTCATCAGGGTCCAAAATGAGAAAGGCCACGTTACATTTAGGAAAGCCTGGGAACAATATGCTGCTTCTGTGTTTTAACGGACAGAACATCAGGCTTGGTGCTTTAGACCTACAACTCAACAGTATTCTCACTGCCTGTAAAGCACAGCTGGAGAGCAGACCTTACAATCTGCCCGTGCATTTTCCTGAAATAATTTCTGAAGTCTTTTGGTGTTGCTGCTCATTGCAATTTTGGTAACTTTTTCTTTGGTGTCCAGACCCATATAGGGGCAGAAAGAAATATTTCCAATAAAATATCAACAGAGCAGCACTTCCGATACACAACACACTTCAGTTGGGAAGCTGAGAAGCTGAGTTTCAGTCCTCAGGCCACTTCCCTTTTAAATTAGTCTTTTGACAAACTGGCACTTACTACTTAATTGCTCTGGTGGTGTAGTTACAACTGCGACCTTCTGACAAATCCGAATCCAACAGTAAGATGTGTATGAACATCTGCTCATGTCCAGCATGGGTTTTAAAAACACTGCTATTGCTATTTCATGATTGTAACAATATAAACCCTTTATGAACAAATTTCAGCTTCCATGACCATGGAGATGACAAGTTAATGGATTCATTTGCACTCTGTGGATAAGCATTTATCCATAAAGTTTCCCTTGATGTTAACGGGAGTTGTGTAGCTGAATCCCAGACTCGCCATGCTGAAAACTTACCCCTAACTCTCCAAGGAGAAGGGTGCTAATTGGATTGCTGAGCTTAAATCCTTCTGCTAGTCAGTCTATGGAACGGATTTAGCACTGGCTCTGTAAAAGGCTTTAAGTAGCTTTGCAGTGCAGGGCCGGCAAAGATTTCTTTCTTTCTTTCTCGTGATTAATTGCAAGGCTTGAGGTGACAGGAGACATAATGAAATTCATAAATGCCAAAGGCCGTCCCTAGTCACATTCCTGGCTGTTGGTTTAAGTTAGAAACTGACAGAAGTGTGAACAAATCAAGGTTGTTCTGATAGCCTTCCAGTCACAGCGAAGAAAAAGTAACTGACAATGAGAAACCACTGGAGGTGGTTTAATGGGTATAAATTCTCAGGAAAGAGTCATATTTTACACTGATTCAGAATCTTGGATCCATAAATGACTTACAAACAGATGGATTCTGCCCCCACAGCAGTCTGAGAGATTCCAGTCCCTTCTCGCAAAAGAAGAAATTGGCATGAGCTATTCAGGCAACTTGGCAAAGAAAAAGCCATGGCAAAGCTGCAACAGGACTCAGAGCTACTTGTCCTGTGCCTTCATTCACAACTGGCTTTGTGCCACTTGTTATTCATTTTAAAAACCAACTCACCTCTCTATAAAGAAAAAATCTTGCAACATTGCCATAGAACAGAATAAAAATTAATCTATTGCTTCCCCAAATCCAGATTTGAATGACTGCTTCCCCAGTCCCGCTTCCTACTCCATGAAGGTGCAGACCTGTCACGTCTGAGCATATATGGACCAGACACTGATGCGATGATCCTTCGAGCCAGCTGCTAGCAGCCTCTCGCTGGGCTCTCTGTGATCCGAGAAGGACACGCAATGCACAGTGGATGTGTGGTAGTCCAGCACTGCTAAAGGCTTCATCTTTTTCCAGCCGAAGATCCTGATGCGATGATCCCACCCTGCCGTTGCCAGGATCTTCTTGTCCGGGCGGATGGTAATATCAGATATGCCAGAGTTGATGAGTTCGTGTGTTTTGTGAACCTGAGGAAGAATATATATTTTTTTAATGAAATTACCTAGAAACAAAATAAAAAGCAACCTTTGGGGACTTCAGAAGCTACAATACCCACCCATAAGCACTGGTGCCAGACAGCTAGTGCGCAGCTTTTCACCATGCGCAATGTCCTAGTGAGAACAATTATAGCCAAAAGGTGGAAAAGCCCTTGACCTGAACCTATCTCCAGCACCAATCTCTCAGTTTTTCCCTCTTTCTTTTTTAGTATCCCTTATGTTTTAACTTATATTGCAATTTAAGCTGTATTTCATCACAACTGAAATTCTGAGTCAAGAATTTGAGTTTGAGATTCAGACTACACCCCTTTGCTCTTCTAGCTATTCTCACATGAGCTGCAAAGTTCCAAACTATTCTCATTCTGATATTCTGATCTATTGTTTAAACTACCTGTTACTGATTTCTACTACTGTGGCCCCCCACAAAAACCCCAGTAAGCTGTGGTAGCATTTACCACAGTCTTGAGACAAAAGGAATGCTTCCAGGAATTAGGTTACAGTGTCAGGAAATCTGCATTTCGAGTACTTTTCCCAAGAGACTTTTATTTACACCAAATTCCAAGAAGGGGCTTATGAACAAGTTATTGATTTCAATCTTGGAAGCCTTTTCTTACTGCTTGGAGGACACTGGGGCACAAACTTCTGAGGGGTATAATTAAATTGGAAGGCATTTGGCACCCTTCTTCAGGCATTGGGCCTGCACCCTACTAGGCCCTCAAAAAGAAAATTTGCATTTCAAGAGTCTGGAACTTCTGAAGCCCAAGGAAAAGGGGGTCAGTGCAATTCTCACCTCAGACAAGCACGCTGGCACGCAGTTATCAATAGGCAAAATTCAAGATTCCAGCTGGAAATGGCATGTTAATGCTTCCAGGTACTTACAACCTAACATGTAGCTATCTTGCACCAAAGCTTAATTCAGTGCATGTTCTAATACACTGCATGTTGTTTATTGCTTTCCTCAGGAAGGAAGGGAATGAAAAGAACATCTGAGTAATTTTCCCTATAATGGACATCCCATGATGGCTTATTGGGGTTTTTGTGAGGGGCCACAGTAGTAGAAATAAGTGGCAGATACTTTGAACATAATCAGTATATATATATTTTGTGAATATATTTGTTTGCAGCTTACAGTGACATGAACATTGGATCTAAAAAACTGCAACCCGTGGAGCACTAGTCAAGGTTGGCTTCAGATACGCTGCAGCACACCTTGGAATCTTACAGGAACTAAGCTGTAAGTGGTTATTTTTCACCTATATAATAATTATCCAGCAATATATCTAAAAGATATGCAAATTCAACGAGGAAAAAAAAAAGACTAATTGAACCTTGTTATATTTTTCTTGTGTCTTCCATATATTCCTATTTATACAGGCCCTGAAGGTGTCTAGACTCAGGGCAGCAATTGTTTCTGAAGTGTAATCAGCACTAAGAGCCTGTATGTAGCCTCTCTGTGGGGTTACGAGTGCTCTGTAAAACCTGTGCTCTTTGCTGGTCCTTACTCATTCCCAACTCCCCCGTTACGCCGCTGTAGCACAGCACGTGCACTGGCAAGGGGAGGATTTGTTACTGCCACCACTAGCCTGGCAAAAGAGAGAAGGGCCTCGCTTTGTCACTGAGGTTTCTAGCTAATGGCTATAAGCACCCTGGGCGCGGTGTTTCCCATCATCGCTGTCGACTACGTGGGCAAGATCCATACAGCAAAATCAAGACGCTGGGAGGAACTGCATGTCATGGGCAAGCTACAACTTGAAAATGAAGTCTACAATGGTGATGCCTTTTGGCTACAGAACATGAGGGAACAGTGGGCATTTGTGCATGATCTGCAAATACTGGAGGTGAGAGAGAGAAAAACAAAACAAAGCTGAACAACTTGTGTGAGGTATGCGCAGCCAGGGGAAATCCTACGGCAGGGATTTGGGCTATTCAGTCACTTACAGGCAGCAATTGTAAATATATGCATACCATTGTATTTTAACTAACTTAAAATCAGAAAGGAAGGAGGTAAAACGAAAAGCTGAGGTGAGCTCTTTTCAGCCAGTTAGAGCCAAGGACAATCGTCTTTACTCACAAACACATTAATAAACATGCTGAGACCAACAGATACCACCTTTCCTTAACACACAGCATCTGTGATTTCTTTTCTAATCTCCTTCTCCTACAATCCAAATCATGTCTTTAAGCCCTATTCTTAATTAGAGAAATAGCCAACATGGTGGTGACAGCAACCTAAGCTCCACAATTTGAGCTCCACAATCTTTGCAATCCAACCAATGAAACTCATGTGCTTATTTACATTACACCTTACAGATTTTTTTTTTCTTGTGTTATAAATTAAGGAGCTTCTGCGATTATTTCTCAATTCTGCTTTGTTCAGTCACCTGCAGAAGCTGTTTACCTCGGATGTTCTTCTGCCACAAATATCATCACTTAATTATGCTATCTCATCTCAATCAGAAAGCTCATAACCAATCCAGTCACTCGCTGACAGTGATGATTTCAGCAATTTTCTGGGAGAAAACAATACACCAAACTTTCCTCATAGGGATAAACTATGAAGTTACCTTCATCATCTCTTCATTGACGCACTGGAACATTGCCATTTAAAACAGAGCTGAAGTACCATCATTGCATCATTATTTCTCCAACAGCAGATAGCTATGCACCACGTTTACTTATTAAAACCTTTTAGAATAAAAATAATGTGCCACTGAGTGGCTTTCCAACGTCTACCATTACCTCAGGTACCTGGAATGTCAGGAAAAAAATCCCCATCTGGTTTATATTATTAATGCAATTGTAGAAAAAAAATCCTTAATCTATGTCCTTGAGAATTTCTAGTGCTTGTGTAAGAGATGCATTTCATTATGGAGTTCACACTATCCACGAAGCACAGAAACTATACTTAAGGTTTAGAATACTTGGCATTTTTTTTTTTCCAGAAAAGTTACTATCTCTCAGTGCCACGTGCTGAAGCTCTAACTAACCCTATATCTCCCAGGTGTGCGAGTGCTCTGTGGAAAACAATACCTGGAAGATCCTAGGTGAACAACTCAAGGGTTTCCTCTTCTTGTGAGCCATACCTGTACCCCTGCTTTACAGTTAGCTCACAGCTGAAACGTGCTGTGGGGAACACATACACATGTATTTTCTTTACTGGAATATCATGAACTTTGGAAAAAACAAAACTATAATGAATATGAAGGAACAGCTTCCCCTCCATCACAAAGCATGAAACTGTAGGAAACTTGTCATGAGGTCAGATCCCTTGCATCTTGGACTTGGAAAACCAAGTTTCTTACTGAGACTTTTCTGCTCACCCTCTGCTTCCCTGTGCTGAGGACTCTTATCTCCAGGTACAGGCATGTGCCAGTAGCGATAGGGAGAACCTGCTGAGAGCTGCCACAGGGAGGGGAGGAAAATATTCACTACCTATTCAGAATCTAGAGAATCTCTTCTACCCTGGGTCTTACGGATTATTAAAGTTCAGGGTTTTGCCTCAGGATCCAGTGAGAAGTGTCTCCTCTCAACGCTGCCGCATGCGGGTGTTTACACTGTATGCACATGCTCGTGCTGAGGTGGTACCTAGCCAGCTGTGTGTCCTCGCGGCCTTCCTGGATGCTAAGCCACTGTTAACTGTCCTGGGAGTTTTTCTTCCTGTAACTCCTTTCAGAAACAGCATTAACTCTCTACACTACTTAAAAGATCTCCACAAAGCTGCAAGCTGGAAGAGCAGTTATTGTTTTACCATGAACTGGTACATCTAGTACCTGCCTTCTCAAGGATGCTTTGGGAGCAGCCTCATCTTTGTGCATTCAGGGGCCAGCTGCTCTATCAGAAAAGGTTCCACTCAGCAGAGGAAGGCCATGTAGGGGCAATTTTTACTTGCATGAGCTTTTATTTATGTAGTTAATTTCCACACCTAGTTAAAACCTGCTTAGCCCCTCAGCACTTGCTGAGGCTGCCTGCATTAAGCAATGTTTATTGCCATTCACCAGCGCACGCTGAACTGCTGATTGTAAGTCCTCCTTCTAAGCCAGCTGTTCCAGGTATAGGTAGCTCAGACACAAACTGATACTTATTTGTCCTGTCTCAGATTAGGACTCTCAAAGATATCAAAGGACACTGGCTCCCAAAGCCACACTTCCTCTTGGTGGCAGTGGGCATCTGAATCACTCTTTCTCTTTTGGTTTGCAAAGTATTTCATGGAGTATTTCTGCCTTTCTTACAGTGGAAGGAAAGCTCTATCCATCCAGCAGAACCTTTGGAAAAAGCAAGCCTTTGTTTCTCATTTTTATAACTCATTTATAATGTTTAGGACATTCCAAGGGCTGGATACTACTAACATGATAAATGAAGATGTAGAGGCAATGGCTTGAGTAATGCTAGGCCTGTGTGCCTGTTGCAACTTTGGTAAAACCAGAAACATGTGAGAGAAGTTTTTTCTCTTTTTTTTTTTAAATCCTCACCATCTTTTGCTAAGTCGAGTCACATAGCATAGGCATTCTAACCAGTCTGTGATTAATTAGCTAGAGATCTGCAACAACTCCTCTTCATGACTAAATATTTTTTTTAGTCTATCAAACTGTTAGTGCAAAGTGGGATAAATGACACTAGAGGGCCAATGATCCTGACCTGGAGGTTCTGTTGCTCATTGAGGCTCCAGATGCTAAGCACCTTTTCAGATGAGCCTGAGATCCCCTTGGCCTTCCCTGAGTCAAAGTCAAGGCTCATCACCGGCTCCTGATGGCAAACAAGTTGGCTCCACACTTTTCCCATTGACAGATTCCAGAGGATCACTGATCCATCTTCATAGCCAGCCAGAAGCCAAGGTTGCACAATTAGATTTCAATCCAAGCACCAGAAAAAAAAATATTGAATGCTGACTAGCACAGCAGTGAAAAGTTAGAAGTCTGAAAATCAATGCAACCATTAAAGACATTATTAGATAAAAACATTACTATGCAACTGCTGATACTCTCATGCCTTTAATATAAATACATATATATAGAGATGGGAGGGGGTTAATATATAAAAATACTTTACACAGAAAATCCAAAGTAGCATCCTCAGCATCACCAGAACAAAACCCTTGTGCCTGAAGCCGAAGTCTTCAGAAGTTCTACTTGACAGCTTAAGCTTCAGTTGTGCTCCTTGAGAATATTCCTTAGAGCAGCTGAGTTACCACGATGCTCCACAAAAGCGCACGGATACTGAAGGAAGTCCCGTGCACAGAGATCCTGGTTTCACTTTGCCAAGTGAGAGGCTACAGGCACAGCTGATTTACCCCAGTGCCTGGCAGTGCTTAGAGAGGCACTGAACCTCTCAGAGAATCTCTGGGTGAGTCACCAAGGGGTTAACGGGTGCCTTAGTCCCACTGTAACCAATTGAGAGCTATTTTGATTAACGATGTCACAGGCCAAAGGCCATGGCACCCTGGGCAGACACCTAATTTATTTAAGCCTCTGAAATAACTCAGAGAAGGGAACATTACTGGATTACATGTCACACTTAAGGAAAATATTCATCATTGCTCCAGCCAAAAGACTAATGACTCTGTAGGCAGTAACTGGTTGGTTATGTGAGTGAAGATGCAAATCCCTAATGAAAATCAAGTAAAACTGGCATCTGTTAGTGCCACTTATGTTTTTAATAGGAGAAAATACACCAAAATAGATCTGGGGATTGCAGCTACCTCACACAGGGACATCTTACCCTAACGATGCACCCGTTAGGTTATTCAGTTCTTCTTGAACACCATCTGATACTACAGGATTCCTTTGTTTTGTATTCAGTTCAGAAGAAAATTAAAGGACGTTTATAAAGAATTTTTACTGTCGTTGGGTTATTGAATGGGGTTCTTTCAAACTGACTGGCTGTCAGCAATGCAAACCTGCACTGGCCAAAGGCTCTCAATCTCCCTTAACGGTCCAGACTATTCTCACACTGGTTATTATTTGTTCTAGGGGGGAGTTAAACTAACAAGAGATGGGTGGTCTAGGTAATAAGACTGCTGAGTAAAAGCCTCATATTCTTCCTCGGATTTATCCAGCCTAAAGAAGTGTTTAATAGAGAAATCAATCTCACTGAGTAACGTACGAAATTGTCCCTTGAAATGAGGAAGTCAAAGGGGAATCTCCTGCATCTTCCCTCTGAGCTGTACTGTCTCACGTGGGATCCTGCAGGAGTGTCCTTCCCTACTTTAAGATCTTTTTTTTCTTTTTTTTTTGGTAAAGAAGGGCCCATGCCCTGGCTACAAAGGCTAAACAAAAAGGCCCATGTGATAAGCAGCTCTCAGTCAGAACTGGGCAGGAGCTTCCTGCCAACTATTTGATTTGCTAAAATCGTAAAACTATAGGTCAAAAATAGATATCAAATATTTGCAAATTAATGTTATATCATCAGGCATTTTGAATGCAGAATATCTTTCTCTTTTGAGAGGAAGGATTAAAAAAATCTGGGTGAAAGAAATATTTATATGTTTATTTATATGCAATACATGGTAACAGCTTCAAAGAAAAATGAAATATTTCCTAGTGCTTCAATTAAGTTCTAAAAAGCCCCCAGTTTGGGCAGCAAACCAAAAAATCAATTACTTGTACTCGCCTGCAAGCCCGAGCTCCCGCGGAGCCCCGGGCGGTGTGAGCTGCACCTTTCAGCAGCCAAGGGAAGAGGCTCCGGCTGGGCAGGAGGCAGCCGGGGCTCCGCGGCACGCGGGACGCCGGCCTCAAACACGGTGTTTTCTACTCTGGGAATCTTAGCTGAGATTTGGCCAACAGCGATTTGCAGGTGTGATCTAAGATTGGTCTAACTAAAAATAAAATAAAAATGTTTTCTCTGAAATGAAGATCTCCCCTACGTCTCACTCCTGACTTACCCAAGTTATAGGAAGTGTAATATTTTAATAAGTACACGTAATTGAAATTACCCAGCAAAGGCTGATTGAAAGAACGGGGGCGTTCAGTCTGATGAACTTACCAAGCAATGGATCAAAACAGCCTACTTCCTTCAGCTGCTAATAACAGACACTTTTGGAGGAAAATCATCACCACTCATGTTCTGATTTCATGGGAAATCTTAAAATATTAATCACTGCTCTTCCTAAGCAGAACATTTTGCTGTTGCATTTGGATAACTGTCAAGGAAGGAAGAAAAGGTGATCTGCTGTCAACTCAGCAG